ATATCTTTTTTTGTTGTTGTTTTTGTTGCATTAGTACAAAGCATTTTTCATTAATTCATCATCCATCCGTCTATTCATTCATCTATTAATTCATCCATCAATCCATCCATTCCTTGTAGATTCTTCTGGATAAGCATACGGAACTGAAAAGCAAGTCAGCCGACCGGAAATTCAAGTTGAATGATGCCGTCGAGTCCCAGACGGTTAGTTCTGGTGGTGGTGGTGATGATTGTCATGGTGGTGTTGATGATGATGCGGGAAAGGGTGAGTTGATGAGAGTGATGATGATTTTTTGAAAATGACCGGATGATGATGATGATGATGATAGAACATTTGTCAGCGACGAGGATGAAAGCTAAACTGAGATTTTTTTTTCATAATGATTAACATCTTTTATTTAATGTATTCATCATCACCACCACCATCATCATCGTCATCATCATCGTCATCATCATCATCAGTTCTACACGGAGTCCCAGGAAGCGGATACATGGATGAATGAGAAGAAGATGATTCTGGAGAGTAGGGATTATGGGAAGGATGAAGATTCCGTACAGGTTATGATGATGATGATGCTGATGGTGGTGATGGTAATGATGATGATGGTGGTGATGAAGATGATGACGATGAAGAGGAGGAGGAAGATGATGATTGATGATGATGATGATTGAGGGAGGATGATGATGACGATGACGTAGCATGTGATGAATCGAAATATAGTACATACTCAACTGCGAAAACGCATCAGTATGCTTGAATGAAGGTCGCCTGTCTCTTTAAACACGATCGGATGACGGGCTGGATTCTTCTTGCATTCAAACCCCGTCATTAAATCACGAGACCAGACCCAGGCATCCTGACCATGACGTCATCTTGCGTAATTATTATTTTAATGATGACGTAAGTGTTTCCCTCAATTGCGAGGTATCAAACGACGACAAACTCTAACAGATCCTGTTGAAGAAATTGGACTCCTTACTGTTGGACCTCGACAACTTCAACAACAACATCGGAGAGTTGAGTGCCCTCTGTCAGGGACTCGTCAGTAGAGGCCACTTCGATAGCCACAACATCCGCGAGAAGCAAGCTACTACTGAGAAGAAGTCTGTCGTGATGATGATGATGACGATGGTGATGATGATAATGATGGTGATGATGATGGCGGTGATGATGGTGATAGTGGTGGTTTTGATAGTGATGATCACAGAGATCAACCCATACAAAGATTGTAATTATTATAGATTACAACATCATATCGATTGTTACTCATTCTTACTATATTTCAATTATCAACTCTCGTCACACTAACTCGCTCTGCTGAGAAGCTTACTCGTTTGACGGCACTCTTTAATAAAACTTACATGCCACAAAGGCCTTACACTATCCGCACCACACACGCACGCACGCACACACGCACACACACGCCTATGATGGTCTTTCAGTTTCGGACAGACGGTATTCGAACCAGGCCATCACGTAATAGCAGCGCGAGACCTGGCACTTCATCCGCCTGAACTAACTCAGTGACCACCAACTCACTCCCACAATACCACTGCAGGTACGGAGATCTGCAAGACCTGGCCCAGAAGAGGAAGGCCAAACTGATTGAGAGCAAACAACTTTTCGAGTTTGTTCGGGAGAGTGATGACGTCACTGAGTGGATGAAGGAGAAGGAGGTGGTTGCTGGATCGGAGGATTATGGAACCGATATTGAACATGTCCAGGTTGGTTGGCTGGCTGGCTAGTCGGTTGGTTGGTGATTGAATGAATGATTGAGTGAATGATTGATTGATTGGTTGGTTGGTTGATTGATTGATTGATTGATTCTTCACCAAGACAATCAGCAGCAAACCTTGCAGTACTGTCCACAACTAACTTTTTTTTTCAACGATTCAAATGCATTTTCACTTAAAAATTTTCACCGCCTGATCGAGTGAACCACTTTGCATCATAGGATCAGCCAACTCATCACTCACTCAATCATCCAATTAACTCATCAATCTACTAATCATTTGCTAACAAACTATTTGCTTAACCAACTAACCAATCACTCAATCAACCAATCAATCATTCACTCACTCAACCTACCAACCAACCTACCACCGAACAGATCCTGCAGCAAAGATTCGCGGACTTCGTGCATGACTTGAAGGCCTGCGAAGAGAAAATAAACCACATCAACAGTCTGGCCCGGAGTCTTCTCTCAGCCAATCACAGCTCTGCCCCATTTATCGACCGGAAGTGTAAGGATATCAACCGGATGTGGGCTGAGGTGAGGTGGACGATGACAATGATGCCTGACAAACACGCGCACACATACTCTGGTACACACACGCACGAACGCACGCACACACACACGCACGAACGCACGCACACACACGCACAAACGCACACACACACTCACACACGCACGCACACACAGCTCAAAGACCTATCTCAAAATCGAATGGATTCGTTGGAGGGTGCGAAGAAGGTGCACAGTTTTGTGAGGGACGCGGACGACACAATCGAGTGGATGGAGGAGAAGGACTTGCTGGCTTCCTCGCAGGAGTATGGCCAGGATGTGCAGAGTGTCAATGCTCTTATCGTTAAGCATAAGACGTTGGAGGCAAGACGCTGTTGTGGTGTGGTGTGGTTGTCGTGTAGTGTGGTGTGGTTGTCGTGTAGTGTGGTGTGGTTGTGGTGTGGTGTGGTGTGGTTTGGTTGTGGTGTGGTGTGGTTGTGGTGTGGTGTGGTGTGGTTGTTTCATTTGTCCATTCATTCGTTCAGTCAATTTTTCGTCAAGTTACATTTATTTAATCCTCTCCTTCGTTATTTTCACACATTCATTCATCTGTTAATGGATTCGAACAACAATCATCACTATCACCACTATCATCACCATCATAACCATCACCATCACCACCCCCATCATCACCACTCCACCATCATCATCATCGACAACAACAACAACAGCAAGACTTAGCAGCCATCATGCAGCAAGTTGAGGAGATAAAGAGTAACGCGGAGGAGTTGATCCAGACGATTCCGGAAGCCAAGGATCACATAAATTCGAAACTGGATGACCTCCGGGTCACCTGGTCAGAGTTGCAGGCCAAGGTCAGGACGAGGTTGGAGAGATTGCACCAGATGGAGGGTGTCCAGCTCTTCTTTGATGATTACAGGGCTTTGTGGTTGGTTGTTTGTCGTCTTTGACTGGTTGTTGGTTGTTGTCTTTAATTGGTTGCTTGCTCTGTGTGTCTGGTCTCTTCTATGCCCCAGTCTTTCTCCCCCCCTCTTTCTCTCATTTTTTCTCTCTTTCTCTTTCTCTCACTCTCTCAATTTGTGTGTGTGTTGTCTGTGTGTTATGATTTCGCAGTGTTTTATTCTAATATAATCCATGTCAGATTTTACAATACAGTTTCTGCTTTTTTGCACTTAATCTTTCTTGCAGTCTTTTTTGCTATTGTTCCTTTCTCATTCTTCCCTTTCTCTCTCTTTCTCTCTCTTCTTTTACTTTCTCTCTCTCTCTCTCTTTCATCTTCACTATCTCCCAACAACAACAACAACAACAACATAAATAACAGCGCATGGTGCAACGAGATGCAGGCTCGAATGACGACCGACGAACTCGCTCTGGACGTATCCGGCGCCGAAGCACTCGTACTTAGACACAAGGTTATTATTATTGTTATTATTATTATTATTGTTATTATTTTTTTCGCATTTCATGTAATTTTTTTCATAAGTCTTCGTCAGCACGCTAAATGGTTTCTTTAGTAGATGTATTATGTAATTATTCAATAATATAAGTAGATCAATTAATAAATTAATTATTTTGAGTAAAAATAATTAATAGTAATTAATTAAAAATAATTTATTAATTGATTAATGGAAAAAACTTACCAGGAGAACAAAGCGGAAATAGACGCAAAGCTGAAGGACGTGTCAAAGTTCACACAGAGAGGCAAGGAGCTGATCAGTGAGAAGAACTTTTTAGCAGCACAGGTCGGTTGGGTGGGGTTTGGGTTTCTTTTTTATTCATTCATTCCTTTGCTCTTTTATTCATTCATTCATTCATTCATACATTCATTCATTCATTCATTCATTCATTCGTTTGTTCATTCAGTTCATTAATCACATGTTCATTCATTCATCTCGTCACTCAAACATTTATAATGGCATATTTTCTTACTCGTTTATTTATTTATCCATACATTCCTCCACGCGTTCCGTCATTCATTCAATTATTCGTTCATTCCTTTCCATTCATTCTTCCACTCGATCGCAGATCCAGGGCAAACTGGAGCATGTGGACAGCTTGTTCACCTCATTATTGGAGACGTGGAACAAGAGGAAAGTTCTCTACGATCAGAACCTTGACCTTGAGGTCAGGCAATTTTTTACGATAATCGTCTACAAACATCATCAGCATCTGCACTATCAACAAATGATTTTTTAACCTCAATTTGACCTTTTTATCTTTCCACTTTGAACTATTTCTTCATTGTGACCTCATTCAACTGTTCACCGGGTTTTTTGCCGTGACTTCTTTTCATCGTGACCTTGAATTTCTTGCTGTAACCTATAACCTTGACCTCCAACAGTTATTTAAACGAGACATGGACTTATTGGACGTCTGGTTAAACCAGAAGAGGCCAGCCCTGCATGGTGATGATGACGTCAAAAATCTGGGTGACTCCATTGATATTGTGGAGGCCCTCATTCAAAAGCACGATGACTTCGAGAAGATGGTGCTTGCTCAAGAGGATAGATTCAATGCTATCAAGAGATTTACACTGGTTGGTTGGTTGGTTGGTTGGTCGGTCGGTCGGTTGGTTGGTTGGTTGGTTGGTTGGTTGAATGGCTGGCTGGCTGGTTGGCTGTT